CTCAGGACCTTATACTTGCCAGGCAGGCACCGTACCACTGAGCTATATCCCTGGTAAGACTATCATGTTAAGTGAAATAAACCAGTCTTAGTTAAAAATAATATGCTTTCTCTTATATAAGAAATCTAAAAATAAGCAAATACAAAAGCAAAGGAGAGGACAGGAAACCGGAAGGTATTTTCTAGTGATGGGGAAGGACATAGAGGGAAGGAAGGGGGGATAATGGGAATTAGAATAATCAAAGTATGTTACATGCATATACAGATATGCCATTACAAATCTCATTAAATAATCTTCTTTAGCATATCAGAAATAAAGATAACATTTGTTGCCAAGATAACATTTGTTGCTTATGTTCATTTAATTTTTCCATATTAAAATGAGAAAGCTACCTAACAATAGTAGAAATACAATTCCTGTGATTTCAAATCTGTGTAGACCACCTTGCCCATACTCTCAATTCCTTGGCATCTTCTCCAAAGATCTCATCCTCCATCCCAGCTCAATAACTTGTTCCCATGGTTCCTTCCATCTTTCCCTTCCTTCTTTATTTTTTCCTTTAAATTGTCCAGGCTGGCCTTGGAATTTATCCCTGCCTCCCGACTAATGGTATTACAGGTGTGTATGACTGTGCCCAGCTCTATGGTTGTTTCTTAGATTTTTCAGCCACTGGGAATATTTTTAACTATAGTTTCAAGCCACTGTTCTGGGAACAAAATTATGGAGCATTTTAGGTTTTCCTAAGAATGAGGGTTTCTATTGGCATTCAATGAGGTGGGAACAAGACCAATAAATAGCCTGTTCTGCTATGGTCACCTGTATTTCCAGCTCACTTTATCTGGTATTCAGACTCCAATACTTTCATACTCAATCTTCATATCTATCTTTCCTTGTTAACATATTTTGAATTCCATGATTATAATCACTTCCCCTTGCAGGCACATACCCTTAACTCCCTGGTCTCTAATCAACTTTACCCTGATCTCTAGGAAAACTCCAATTGTAGTTCAATTCAATTCTATGCCCTGCCGATGACCACAAAATTGAATATACGTGGAGAAAACACACTGCCTTTCTTACCGCTCTCACTTTAAATTCACAGCTACCAGCCCCAAGTGGGCTCCTACTGCTGCCTGGCAACTCAACTCCACTTCTCAAGTCCAGTCTACTGTTATCCTATGACTATTTTACACCTTTTCTTTTCTCTTGAAACTTTAGCGCTTTTTCCTTTTCTCACTCTCAAGTGCTGAACTTGTTTCCCTAGAAAAAGCAATCACATGAGAACTTTTACAAGTTCTCACCCAAAGTGTCCACTTGTCTGTGTTTGAGCCCAAGTACTTTGAGGCCTTCCTTCCTGTTTCAGTGGATGAACTAGGAGAACCCTTCCTACATGCCCTAGATCTTATCCCTCTTTGCCTTCTAAAGGATACTGCTTTAACAACTTTTTCTTATATTAACATTTTATAGTAATTCCTCACTTGGATCATTCTTTCCAGTTTATATGTTACAAATTCACCCATCGAAGAAAAAAAAGTCACTTTTGATATTCTATCCAAGACCATTACTATGAAGTTTTTGGAAAGTTCAGTATTAGGCAATTAGCCTTATGAAGTATCAGGACTCATCAGAAAGCTACTATAATTAAGACAAAATAACAGCCCAGACAGCTAGCTATATGGATAAATGGCTGATGGCAATGCAGATCAGATAGAAAAAGAAGCACCATTCAGTACACAATGCTGGTTCAAATGGTTATGCTTAAACAACACAGAAAAATGCTAACCACAGAAAGAAGAGTTTCACACAATTGACTACAATCAAATTAAGAAAGTATGCTTTCTAAAAGGCTAAGAGAGAAATTGAAAGGAGAAGCCATAAACTTGGAGAAAATATCTGTAAGGCATATGAAAATCCACATTTGTTACAGTCCAGGAAATACAAAGCCCTACAAATTGATACAGAAAATCCAACAGGAAAATGGATAAAAACCCCCAAACAAGCACTGCACAGAAAGGAAACACAGTGATCAATAAACATTAAAAGAAGCTCAATCTCATCATTAATCAGAGAACCACAAATTAACATTATAATAACCATATTATACCCATTTGGCAAAAAAAATAGAAATCTGATAATGTCAATTTAATTCAGAGAACTCTTAAACACTGCTGGTGGAATTGTAAATCGACCCAAGCACTTAAAATAACTTCCTGTCTTGTAAAGGTAAAACCCAAAAACTCATGACTTAGCACTTTTAGTTCTACTTACATACTCTAAGGCAATTCTTGCACATGTGTAGTAGGAGACGAGATAAAAGTGCTTATAGCAACACAGTTCTTAGTGGCAAATAGCTGAGAACAACCCCAACACCTATCAATAGGACACTGGATAAATAAACTGTGAGGAATGTTCACAGAGCTGAGTGTCATACAGCAGTGAAAAACGAGTAAACTACTGCTGCATATAACCACACGAAGCAATCTTAAAAGCACAGCAGTAAGTAAATGTCATCATTCTTTTAAAAAGTTAAAAACCCAGCAAAATTAAACAATATAATTAAACATCTTTTATGAGACAGGGCCTTGCTGTGTAGTCCAGGCTAGTCTTGAGCTGACTATGTAGCCCAGGCTGGCCTTGAACTTGTGGCAATCCTTCTGCCTGAGTCTTCTGAGTGCTGGATCACAGGCATGCACCACCATGCCCAGCTAACAATATACTGTTTAAGTATGTATAAATGTTAGGTATGAGCTAAAAGTTTTACAATGAAAAGAATTAACAAATACATTAGTGCTCATCTCTGGGCAGAGAAGATGAAACTGGGAAGAACCTGTAAATAGATTCAAGTTGATTGCTTTGTTCTAGTTTTAGGGTGGAGTGATAGGGTCACTGGTACTCATTGTAATAATATTACACTACTTTTATACATTGTATATATGCATTCTTTTGTATGCAGCCTGTAAAAAAAGCCTAAAAATAAAAAAGGACCATTGACCCTTATTAGTGTATGACCATGGGCCAATCCTTTTAGCCTCAGTTTCTTTAGGTAAAAAGTGGAGATAACACCCGCACCTACCTCCTGGAATCTGTGTGATAAAAAATTAAGTGGCACCTAGGCTGCTGTTGCTATCTAATAGCAACTATTATTTTCTGAAGTGCTTTGAAGGTGTCAAGTAGAAAAATGAATCTGTAATGAAGGAGCTACAGAGTGGGAAGGCATAACATATCTCTTTTAAGATTGAAACCCTAGAGTGAGATGGACACAGGAAATTTTCTGAGGAGACAAGTGTGTCAAGACAGGCTGAAGAGAGCAGCTTCAGAAAGAGATTGAGAACAATGAGAGGAAACAGACTGTTGAGGAACAGTGAGGATGAGAAAGTGCACTTGCTGCTAACACTGCCAAGGAAAGTGGAGGTTAAAGGAGACATTAGCTTGGTAATGGGAATTGCTACAGTAGGTCCAGTGAACTGGTTAAAGAAGAAACAAGAGTGTAATGGGCTTACTCATGAGTAGTAGGTGAGGAATTGAAGGCTGGGGAAAAATAGAGCTCTTTTAAGAAGTTTAGAGATAAAAAGGTGAATGGAGTGAGCTCTATGATGGATGCATGCCATCTCCAGGTGAAGGGAGACCTACCTGGTTACATGAAGAAGGGAAAGAGCCAAGGGAGGAGAACAACAGTATAGGACAGAAAGGGGGACAGGTGGCTTGGCATCTTGGAGCAAGAGAAAACAATATTCTGGACTCCAGCAAAAGAAAGGTATAGATGAGAGTTTCACAAACTTTAATGTACAATGAATCACGCAGGGTAAGGAGTAGTTAAAATGCAGATTCTAATTCAGAGTTTGGCTTTGGAGTTGTGCCTGAGACCATGCATTTCTAACATGCTCCAATGCCAAGTGGCATTGATGCTATCTGTCCACAGACCATACTCTGTGGAGTCAACTTGTCCTCTGTCACCACAAATACATCTAGAAATAAGATTAGTAGAACAGGCAGAGACACTGTGGGAGCTTTGCAACATGTATGCTGAAACTACCTGGGATGAAGATGGCAGTGGGATAAAAGGAAAATCAAGCAAGCCAAGTCTTCAGGCCCTCAGTGATGTGAGCAGGTGTCTGTCCCTGGGAAGGCATGGGTAGGTCAGAGATGAGCTACTGGACAGACTTTGCGGGGAGGGAAGGATAGGTGGAAGACAGCAAGGCTAAGCTGGGTGAAAGAGAAGAATGAGAATCACAATGCTTTGAGAGTAATTATAGATAACTGAGGTGAAAAAGGAAAAAGTTCAGAGGTAAATAGAAATGACTTGAATAGGCAAGAACTCAGATGAAATTAGTTTATCTGAAGAGTAATAGTATATTTCATGGGTTATTGTTAAGGTAATTTGACACCATACAACTAGTCCTCATAAAAAAAAAATGCCCAGGTGGAAAATTTGCCTTGACTAACCACTTTTACATGGACTTACTTACCATGCTGACGTTAACAGGTTAACAGGAGTTAATGAGTCAAAATGGATACATCTGTTCCTATAGGTATTTTAAATATCAGTATTCACATATTGCCTAAATATTTAAATAGTTCCCATGGATATATTAAATTACATACTGCATCTAGGAAAGAAGCAGCAATGTGTAATAACCTATTTTGAACATGACATTTATTTTGTGATACAAGAAATACAACTGTCAAAGTTCATAATTTCAATAACTTGCAATTTACTTAAAAAGACTCTGAATTTGCTAGTGTTAGTTTAAAAAAGAATAAACCTGTTCAGAATTCTGCACTGACTGGCAGATGAAATCCTCATTTAGCTCTGTTTTGTTTTCAGACTCTAAGCATTCAATTACTTATTCAGGATTTGTGAGCTGATGCACGTAGCAAGCTGAGAATGCATCTCCACTTGCTAATGCAATGTTTACTAATGCTGAGACATGAACACAGATTCTGAAGCAAGATGTCCTCTGTATTAACATAGACGAGAGAGATCATATGCACACCCTTACCCCTTCACTGGTTTTCTGCAGGTCTGAAGCTGTGTTTCTGGTGTCATTGCCAGGATCTCCACCTTCAGAGCTGCTTTTGTTTTCCTCTTCTTTGCAGTCTTTATCATCTTCATCGCCTGGAGATTTCCGGGATTGTTTAGAGGATTTCTAAATGTTTAGACAAGTTGAAAATTACAGTCAAAAGCACAAAATCCAAATGTCCCAGCATAAGTAAGAGATGCAGAAGTAGTGCACTTCTTTGCTATACACAGGTACAACATGCAGTGTGCAAGGCTGAGCTAGGTGACACTGGACAAATCACTTCACCTCACCAGGCCTCAGTCTAACCAGCTGGAAAGGAAGTAGAGGTAGATTAGATGACCTCTTACTTCTTTCCGGAAGTGTGATATTAATGATAGAAAATAAAGATTCATGTACCCACAACAGTCAATGGATAAATATAGCTGTGTGAACAGCACCATAGGAAGATCACAGAACTGCAAGGCAGTTAAAGGTCATCTCATCTTTCCCCTTCATTTCATTGTAGTGGAAATCCAGAGAAGTGAGGTGAACTTTCTAAGACAATATATGGACATTCATGTTGGAACACCTGTTGAAGTTTCCTGGTTAGGGTATACACGGAACTATCTTGACAAAACTTTTATATCATTTTGATAGGAATCAACTTTAATCTTTTAAATTATGATAGTTACTTAAGAACCCCAGGCTATACTGGTGAACCAGTCCTTTCTTCTTGTCATCTTGCATTTGAAATCAAGATGAACTCTAGAGGAAGATGAAAATAAAATTATAGTTTGCAGCAAGAGTTGCTCAGCAGAACAGTTCTAAAGCGATAAAGCTGGCTCTAACCATGCACCTTATTTAAGATGCTAAAATGGAGCATTTTTCTAATATTTCTTTTTTTTTTTTTTTTGTCTTTTTGAGACAGAGTTTCACGATGCAGTTTAGGCTGGCCTCAAACTCATTTTGTAGCCCAGGCTGGCCTCGAACTCACAGTAATCCTCCTGCTTCAGTCTCCCAAGTGCTGGAATTACAGGTGTGAGCCACCACCCATGCCAACTTCTTTAAGAAACTTTAACAATCTTAAGCATACTGCAAATAAGAGGTAAGGCAAAATTTGTGTAGGCATGTTACTTTTTGTTTCCAGAAATGAATTAGCAAATTAAAGCTTCCTCAATCAATTTTTAAAAATGCAATTTCCAAAGAAAAAGTATCTTCTAGATTTGACAGAATATATAATCAAACTGCTTCCATTTTATTCAACTAAAACGACCAACCAAGCCCAAAGTATCACTTTAAAATGCAGTCACTTTTACTTTTTAGATAAACAGAAAACAAAGATTTAATAATCCAAATGTAGAATGTCTAGAGTTAAAAATTAAGTTCAAGTATGAAACTGGAAAAGTGAAGTGCTTTATGCAATAATGCTCAAGTAACAGTCCTAAAATTTATGTTTGTAAAGGTTATTTCTCAGTAACCTTATAGGTGACTTTCTAATGTTATAGTTGACATACAGACTAGAGTGAGGGCATTACTACACTTTGACTAATGAGTCACAATATTCATTATTCTACTAAGAAACTGAGCTGCCAAACTGTAACCCTGAAGAACTCTTGAGATCAAAGAATTCCTCAAAATGTTTTTTTAATCACTGTTTAAAATAAATAAAAATTAGTGTGATCTTAAATTCATTATCTATCCACTTGTT